ACCCTCCCTCCGGATGCCATATATGACAGCGAGCAAATCCCTCAAACGCCAGCTCGTCAAGAGTCTGAGGAATAACCGCGAGAAATGGTGGATAGGAAAGTGTAGAGAGATGGAGAAGGCTGCGGCTATTGGCAATAATCGCAATCTTTCCCGTCTAATTAGAAATACGGGCCCTAGGAAACGGGCGTGGGGTAATTAGGGAATCCGATGGCACACTGATTCACGATCAGAAACGCCGTTTTGACCGTTGGGCTGAACATTTCAAGGCTCAGTTCAACTGGCCCCCATTGACATCTGAACCATCACCCAGTTGATGCCATTCTTCCATCTGAAATGGGGGTTTCCCGGGAAATAATTTAGCTAAGAAGGCACAGAGTCTCCGGCCCAGACGGGCTGTCTCCATCGGCTTTTAGGGAGGGAGGCCCAGCCTTGGTCTCGGAGTTAACAAAACTCCTGGGTTCAGTGTGGGAGAGAACAGGTTCCAACTGAATGGTGTGAATAGGTCATCATGCCGGTTTGCAAGAAAGGTGATAGATCCTCTTGTGAAAACCACAGAGGAATTAGTTCACTCAACATCGTCTTTTAACTTCTCGCTGGGATCATACTCCGTCGATTGTCTGCCGCACATGAAGAGTGCACACGTGAGAACCAAGCTGGTTTAAGACCTGATCGAGGTTGTATCGACCACATCTTCAATCTTCGCCAAACTCTGGAACACCAACATTCTTTTCGTAGACCCACGATCTTGTGTCTGATCATCGATTTACTCCCAGGTGACAGGTTGTCTGACCTAGAATATGCAGACGACATTGTGCTACTAAGTGAAGACCCAGGTAAGTTACGAGCCTTTCTGGATAGTTTAAGTGCTAGCGTAACCAGGTTCAGTATGCGCTTTGCGCCTTCAAAGTGCAACATGTTACTTCAAGACTGGGTTGGTTCTACAACCAGCCTCACCCTTACTGGGAAAGTAATAAAACAAGTAGACAAATTTTGGAGCCACATCACACATAAGACTGTTGGTGGGGAACTAATCGATAAGGGAGTCTTCGGCTGTATTCTTGAGTACAATGCCCACGCCACGTGGGTCTGCTGAACGGGTTTCTTCATCACCTGGATTGCGGAAGAAGAATTTCGAAGACAAACGCCGATACATTTAAGTGGCTTATAGTACTAGGATCCTGTATTCGCGTCTCCGACACGCAGCAGACACCAATCTTCAAAGAGTCTATTGTACGCGCCAGACATGCCTGTTGACCTACCTGCATCAGAATCCTCAGGTTGAAGGCCCTCAGATTCAGTGCTTGACGAGGCTTCAGAAGCTGCAATCTATTTTGTGGTAAACTACTTACCGGGCTACTTGGCAAATGACGAACAAGGTGTCTGAGGGAATGTTACGGGTTGGAGGAAGGGGTAAGGGGAGAGGGCTGGATATGGAAAAAAGGGTTAAGGGTTAAGCAAAGGTTAGGAGCAGTAGCCTACGTATCACTACCCACCCCGCTCGATGCAATGGGCAGCGCGGTCCTGATTATCCTGCACGATGACCGATGCATTATGGAATTATTTTTTGTTTGTGTAGGCACCCGTCCGGACGGGTACTGCCAGTGTGTCCAGCCACTAAGCAGGAGAGCGATTAGGTTTGTCGTCCAAAGCCTTTAATTCTAACAAGAACCTGACCTCAAGGCAGGAGGATCTATTACTCCGACTGAGTTACTAACTCGATCAGAAGCCCCAGTCTGGATGACCAGGTTGGTAGCATGAAGTAATGCATATATTTTAGAACACTACCAACAATGAAGAGACGTGCAGCAAATCGATATTAGCTTGGTGATTTCGATGGCTGATTTGAAGGCTATAGGTGGTCGGAGACAATATCTCCATACTTAAGCACAAACCACAACCTTCTGGTTAGGGAAAAGAGCTATTGCCTCCATATATCAATGGGTGGGCGTCAAAAGCTTTCACAAGATTCACGTCCCATTCTGCTAGTGCTCAGTAATTTCAGCAATCAATCAAATGGGGACAGCAACTACAGATTTTACAGCTTACCTCCTTCCTGTGATTGGTGCCATATAATAATGAGATGATCTTCACGATCCGCATTAGAAAAATTGAAAGGAATGCTGGGTTGCAGAATTTGCTGAGGCACAATGATGCTACTACTATTACTAGTTTTAACTATTCATACTTTTTCAGCTTCAAGAATCTTACCGGACATTTCAAGGACCGGGAAGCAGCTAGTGTATGGTAGTTGATTCACTAATTATAACCTTGCGTTGCTTTGTCTCCTATGGCAACTACCTTTGGTAACTCCAGGGATGGTCACGGTTTTCGCTTTTTCACCTTTGAGACTAGCTCATCGAACAGGTGATTCATTATCCTGGGTTGCTGTATCGATTCCTCGGTCCTTGGTTTGTCTTGAATAGTTTCGCTTGTTCTTTTTGTGGCGTTTCAGAGCACCTCTAGAGAGCAAAACAAAACCTGTCTCCCAACTCCAGCAAGATTGGATGTACCGGTCCCATCTAACTTCTGATCTTGAAAATTTCCATCTCTCTACCCGATGTAATCTTTTGACGACTACGCTGGGTG